AGAGCCTCAAATTTGTATCCAAACCGTAGGGCAAAGAATTTTTGAAAATTTGCTTGACCTTCGCTTTTTTTCACATATCTCAATTTTTGAATTTCTCGTTTTTCGAAAGTTTTTTGATTTATATAATGCTTAAGTGATGCATTAATCAATACACCCCGTATTCTTATAATGACTGACTGCAAATTAATGAGGTTTTTAAGAAATTGGACAGTCAGTGTAGGTGTCCTACGTTAGTGATGTTGCTGAGATGCTTCCAATTATCCAGCGCAAATTCGATAGTGAAATTTGCACATGTCCAGTTAGTTTTCACATCTGTTTTCCGGCTATCATGTAGTCAACAAAGTGTTTGTCGAGGTGTTCTTGTTATTTTTGGCAATTAAAGATAGGTTAAATGCTTTTTAATGTTTTCCTTCACATTTTCCGGGTTTTCAGTAAAGTCCCTTCAAAAAAATTTCTCTTTAATTGCTTCTCGTGATTCTGTGTTTTAACAAACAAATTTAAGCTTGTTCAAATTTATCATCAAAATTTATAATTTTTTTATTATATCGATCATGAAAAGTATCAGACAAAGAGTAAGTAAAAAAACTTAGTGATTAAGTCATAATCTCTCCTATTAATGTATTATTTGGCTCCACATTACACCAAGGAATGCTGCCCTTTTCTCTTATCAATAATTGTTTTTTTCCCATAAACTTAGTGTTTGGCCGCAAAAGCATTTGTCTTTTCAACCACAGTTTGCTTGCAGCGAATCATTAAAAAAATGAGATAAACTGTCGACCGTTTTGCTACCCTAAATATATTCACACTCCAAGTTAATTATCTTTTGTATTAATTTTCAAAAATTGAGGAGATCAAAATACCAAGAATACTCGGAAAAAATCCTAAGAACCAAGAATATCAAGATTACCCGGACAAAATGATATATTGGAAGGGGACCTAGGGAAATAAAAATTGCTTCATTCGGTGGCATAGGTGTCCGATTGTTGTATGTCCAGTAAAGATATTGCTATATCCTCAGACAATCAATATTGCATCACATACCAATGATGGTACTGGGATGTTCTTAAGAGTACGGCGCAGCTCTAGCAGATCCTTCGATCCTGGGTTCTATACACAAGTAATTTTTATTGAAAAACGCCAAATAATGCTAAATTTTGCAGCTGTGTTGTTATCGTGGATTCGATACGCGGGTACGTAAAGTGATCGATCGGTGTAACTGTAAATTTCACTACTGCTGCCAGGTGATCTGCCAGCCGTGTGAAAAAATTATTGAGGATCATATATGCAAGTAATAATGCTAGTGATATTTGTGCGTGGCAAAAAAGGCAGGAGATGAGTCCTTTTCTCTTTTATCATGGAAAATTCAAAAATAATTTGCAGAGAAAGTCGAAAAACTGAGTCAAAAGGTGCAAATTCAGCGACAAAAATACTTTAGAAGCTTGAATAAGTGTATTTAAGCTTGAGAAATCTAACTTCAGAACTTTATAAGTAAAGAAGCCAACACCGCTCAGGCTATCACTGTGGATATCTCATGTTAGTGATGCTCCAACACATCGGTAGCAAGAAAATCTGAATTTTCATCCTGTGGGAAGCTTGCTATTAGTTATGGCCGGTAGAAAAGGATTGATTTCAGGATTTAGCAAACGGCGGGTCCAGAGTTACGAAGAGACATACCGTATTTCCAAATATTTCGATTTTTTAATTCTGATCCAGGCACCTCATCATAGTGTAGGAGTGGCAACAAACTAGGCAGTGTCGAGATACAACAGAATACAAACTTGAAGTCTCCAAGCATTTCAAGATGAGACTGCCCACGTTTTTGTCCGGCTAAGCTCAGGTGATGCGAACCAATGTCAGCCTGATCAGCAGCTGCTGATCTTGTAAAGTCATGCATCTACACAAGCAAAAATCCCGTGCTGGTAAATTTCTTAATGCTTAATGACGTTATATGAGTCACTTTTATCGCATTCCTGTAGTTTCAGTGTACTTAGTGTGTATGATTGATAAGTATGAGACGTCCAGAAACTGTTTTTTAACAATCTTTGATCCACTAATAATCCCTCTGGGGAGTTGCATCTCAAAATAATTCCAGCAGGAAAAAATGATGCGTTGCTTCGTAACAAGGCCTGTCATTTACTGAATCCTGAAATCAATCTTCTTTTCTACAAGCTGTAACTTATAACATGTTTGCCCATGGAATAAAAGCTCACAATTTCTTGCCAAATAATTTTTAGAAAAATGAAAAAAAGAAGGAAAAAGAGACATGAAACGCAACTTTTTTTTCGGCTAACATTTCTTGATTTCCCTGATTGTCTTTTGGATGGTTTTCCGAATAATAACATTAACATGGAATACCTAAACTAATTAATTGAACGGGCTTCATACTCGTATTCCTGTTTTTTTAGGATTTGGAAAAAAAA